CTATGGGACGCTCGAGTGGGTTATCGGTCTCTTGTTGGCGTTCAGGCGCTCCTCCTGGGGGTCCTCGTCCCCCAAGGATGCGTTGTCGTTGGAGCGGCTCGGACCGAAGCCTAGGACCACCTGAGGAAGAAGGAAGAAGGAGGATGAGGAGATGAGGAAGAGGAAGAAATTAGTGGGCGAGTGTGGTATATATATATATTATATATATATATATATATATATATATATATATATATATATTATATATATATATATATATATATATTATATATATATACACACACACACACACACACATTTTAAACCAACATCAGCTTATAATAAAACATCCCACCCCGTTAAAATCAGCATGTTATCTATCAAAAATTATAACAATAAACTTATACAATAAAACATAACATAAACCTTATAACATATTGTAACAATAAAACTTATAACAATAAAACTTATAACAATAACTTATAACAATAAAACTTATACAATAAAACTTATAAAATAAACTTACTTATAACAATAAAACCAGCAAAAAACATTAAAAAATCTCACCCTAAGTTGGTTGAGTAAAGTCCCGCTGAAGTAAAGGTAAATCCAGGGATTCGTGCAGCTGTTGAGTGAGCCGAGAAGCATACACACGACAGCCACTGAACTCATGGTCGACACTGCAATAAGGGTCATTTTGTAGTGTAAGATGAGAGAGAGGAAGGAGGGAGGGAGAGATAGGGAGGGAGGAAGAGATAGATAGAGAGAGAGAGAGGGGAGGATAGAGAGAGAGAGATACAGAAAGGGAGGGAGAGAGAGAGGCAGCGAGAGAGAGAGAGAGAAAGACGAGGCAGGGAGAAGGGACGAAAGAGAAAGAGAGAGAAAGGATTGTAAGAGAGAGAGAGAGAGAGATAGGGAGGAAAGGGGGTGAAGGAATAATGTATAGAGAGAAGATGGGGAGAGGGACATGGGAAAATAAATATATAGAGAGAAAGAGAGAGATTAAAAGTTAATGAGAGAGAAATGGGAAGAGAGAGAGAGAGATTAAAAGATAATGAGAGAGAACTAGGAAGAAAAGAGAGAAGGTTGTGGAGGGAAAAATGGAAAAAAGAGAAAGAGATAGAAACACACGTGAAGCACCGTGTGTCAGCATTAAGAACTTTATTAAATATCATCTAAGTTAAGCTAAGACACACCTCTGGTAAAATGTTGATCAAAAATCTGTTCACTACCTTTTGAGTTATTCTGCTAACCAACAGACTAACTAACTAACCAACGCTACCGAAACATCATCTCCTCCAGTATGTAAAATCGACCCGTGTGGAAAAGGCTTGGTAAAGCTCCTTTTAATTCTTTCTCAACAATGCAGCTTCTCTCTCTCTCTCTCTCTCTCTCTCTCTCTCTCTCTGTCTGTCTCTTTCTCTGTCTCTGTCTCTGTCTCTGTCTCTGTCTCTCTCTTCTCTTTCTCTTTCTCTTTCTCTTTTCTCTTTCTCTTTCTTTCTTTCTCTCTCTCTCTCTCTCTCTTTCTCTCTCTCTTCTCTCTCTCTCTCTCTCTTCTCTCTCTCTCTCTCTCTCTCTCTCTCTCTCTCTCTCTCTCTCTCTCTCTCTCTCTCTCTCTCTCTCTTCTCTCTCTCTCTTCTCTCTCTCTCTCTCTCTCTCTCTCTCTCTCTCTCTCTCTCTCTCTCTCTCTCTCTCTCTCTCTCTCTCTCTTTTCTATTCTCATTCTTCTTCGTCTTCTTTTTCTTCCTCTTATCCTTTACCGTCTTCTTATCTCTTTCTCCTTTGCCTCCATTATTATTAGTAGTAGTAGTATCATTGTAATCATTTTAATTATCATCATCATTATTATTAGTAGTAGTAGTAGTATTGTTGTAACTATCATTATTACATACTAGTACTATAGTGTTTAATCATTACTGTTACAATCTTTATTATTATTATTATCATTATCATCCTTATCATTATCATTATCATTATCACCCTCATCATTATCATTATCATTGTTGTCGTTATAATTGTTGTTATCGCAGTTATCATTATTATCCTCTCCATCCTTATCATCATTATCATCATCCTTAATATTCACTACTACCTTGTTAGGAGCGTCTCACAAAGAAAGTTGTTGCCTTTGAATTTCCTAACAATCCCTAACAATCACAAGCAAAGATTCTGTACAAATCCGAGCAAAAGTTCACGACCAAAATATAACCTGACATGAGATCGTCCATTAAAACTTAGGAGGGAATCTTTCATACCGCATGAGGTTTTTCATATCCAGGGGCCCCGGATGCACTAATGCACTTACGATGGTAAAATCACTGGTATCTGTAGCTACCATGGTAACCAGAGAGCGGTGGTATTCTCTAACAAGCCATCGGAGTTTCCATGGTAAGTGTTACCAGCGGGGAGGAGGGGGGGGAGCACCGGTTCTGGGCAGACGGTGTCACCACGTGTTGTCTCGTCAAGAAATCAATAACTACGTAAAGTTTTAGGTTTGTTTTTTATACCTGATGGAAGTAATATGATGTCAAACAGATATCACAATACTGACATGGCGAAGGAGTGCAAATTTCACATGAAACTTGCGAGAATAAAATCCACATGAATTCTCGTAAAATTATAGGCCTATATTATACTAGAATGCATGGAATCGATAGATATATGAACTCAAAGAATTCTTGTCTGACATAATTATTACAAATTCTATTGAAAAAAATTACCTTGCTGATATATACACTGGCAATACCAACATTAAACGAGTATAGCAATTTCTGTGTCTGTCGGTATTCTGACAATAAACTCCAAAGCACATGGGCAAGAATAAGCTTGAAATATTTCCTTTGACGACAAATGGTGATGAATAAACATTTTGTTTGGTCCGGTTCTTTGTTTAACAATGATGAAAAATAGATAAATAAAAAATAAACTGTTTGGACTGTCTCTTTGGTTTGAGGTAAACAATAATATATTAATATAACAGTGTTTATATTGGTTCCTATCTAAACGGTAATTATATATCCCACATGATGGATATAATCAAATAAATATATTAATTATTCTACATGTGCTTAAATGTTGTTTTAGCTGAGACGATTTTAAAAATATCGCTGTGTCTAGTTCTGTTTACATGTTACGTGATTGGCTGACGAAACCTAAAAGATCATGTATCGCGCTCGCTGATTGGTGGAATTGCTTTACTAGAGCCATCTGTTGGCTACCATTAGAATGAGTCGATTTACGATTGTAACTCAGCTGATCCAAATAACCATTTCTTCGCGAATTCGGTTCAAAACTCGGATTCAAATATCTGTAACTTCTTTTTAAGCTTTGAACAATTGGGATGAGGTTCAAATTTAGCAAAAGCTATTACTTAAGGGCAATTTTATATGTATATTTCTAGAATATCTGTAGTTTCTTTAAATACCATCACTGGTAAACGCGATGGTAAATGGCCGCTTGTAAATGTGCTGTGATCGTATGTTAGTGAATCCGGTCCCAGGAGATTTTGAGGTCTCTGGGTGACCTGAGGTGACCCAGAGAGTTGGTTATATCGTGGGCTTCTGTCACCTACTGGCAGGACCCTAAATATAGTGATGGGAATGAATGCTACTGAATACACACACACATACACGCACGCACACACGACCCCCCCCCCCACAACACACACATACACACAAACAAACACACACACACACACACACACACACACACACACACACACACACACATACACACACACACAACCACACACACACACACTCGCACGCACACTAAATTATTCATGTACATATTAATGTATTAATGTATGCATATATAAACCTCGGCATTCAAGTACGGATAGTTCATGGCAACTGGCAATCATATTGATTTTCAGATAACAGGAAAACGAATAAAACACATAAAAAAAAATATATGTGACTAGTGCAAGAGAGCAAGGTGCAAGATTACGACCCAAATCCTTTTTAGTGATTTTAAACTTCATCTGCAATCATAGCAATTACCACTATCATAAGTTATCACCCTTATTATCATTATCATCAGTTATCGCTATTATTATATGTAAGGACCATTTTCAGAGCTTATCTACAATAATAACAATTACCACAACAATTGTGTTATCATCCATATATATTATCGTTATCACCATTGTTACTACTATTATCATAATCTAAAGGACCATTTTAGAGGTTATCTACAATCGTAACAATGTCACATCATAAGCCTCACCTCTTAACATCGCTACCATTATTGTTTTTCAACTATTAATTATATCTGAGTTTATTAATCTACAATCATGTTTTCCACTACATCGTTATCATCCATAGTATTCGTTATCATCATTATTTATCAATACCCATATTGTCATTATCATTATATCTAAAGGTAATATATATTCGTAGATAATTTTATTAATTTATCTACATAACAATGTACACTATCACATTATAGTATGTTTAAATCATCCAAAATTTATACGTTTTAACTATCATTAGATTATCTACGTCTTATTATTTTAATAATTGAGTTGTTGTATTTCTATCAATTATATTTTACAAGTTTTTCCTACTAAGGCTTATTTATCTAATCCCATATTTAACAATTATCCATACAATCGTATCTGCTATAATTATTATTATGAGTTTTATCTAACAATTTACAACAGCATTTCCACTTAAGACCATTTAAGTTATACATACCCATAATTTAATTCATTTTATACATTACATAATTGTTAATTACGCTATTGATTATTATTCTATGAGTGTATTATTACTACAAATTATAATAGTTTTCCACTATAATTATATCTATCTATTTGATATTCTGCTAAATTAATATTATATCATTAATGTAATTTTTATCTACAATTACAACAAGCTAATTTCAACTACCTAATTGATTAATACAATTATCCACAAAATATTATCGTTAATCAAATCCAATGTTTAAATCGCTGATGTGATTTATTTATAATCTAAGAGAAAATCACAATTTATGTTCATCTACCATTGTTATCAATCCATAATTATACATTATCATCATTGTTATGCTCATATATATATCTATTGAAGTTTATATCTACAATTGTATATATTAGCTTTATCACCACACTGATTATCATTACCATATTATTCATTATCATCTATTGTAATCTATAGCTAAATTTTATAATATAATCTATGAGTTTAATCTAACATTTAGTTTAATAGTTTTCATACTTCATTTCTATCAACATTATTTATTTATTATCATCATGTTATATCGCTATTTAATTTACTAATATATGTAAAGTTTATCATATTCTACAACATATATGTTTTCCACTTACACGCATTTATGTATTAACCACCAATTATTATCGTTATCATCAATTGTTTTCTGCTTATATTATATCTAGAGTTTATCTACAATTATTTGATTTCCACTACCTAATTTGTTACATCCATGCATTGCATTTATATTTAGTTTATATTTATCATTATATATATATATTATACTTTATATTACACAATATATTGGATGGAATGAGTGGGGTGGTGGGGTTTGGTGGGGTTGCGGTTTCGGGGTGTTGTGTTTGGGCAGTGGGGGGTGATTTATTAGTTGTGGAACGGGTTTGCATGTTGGGGGGGGGTTGGGTGGTGGGGGTTGGTATTACACCAATACATACCTTACAATTCAATTTATATTTATATAATAATTTAATTTTTTTATATTAAATATTTTTTATTTATTATTATATTACTTAATAATTTTATTATTTTATTATTATTTTTATATATTATATTTTATATTTTATATTGTTATTGGGTTAGGAGTAGTTGGTTTTATTTATTTTTTAATTTTTTTTTTTTTTTTTTTTACATATTTATATAATTCTTATATTTATATTTTTATTATTTTATTTTATTTATATATTTTTTTATAATATTATTGTTTAGATATTTTTTTATTTTTATATTAATTATTATATATATTTATTATTATTTTATTTTATTATTTTAATTATTATTTTTATATATTATATATTTTATTAATTGTTTATTTTTTTTTATTATACTATAAATTATTTTTTATTATTTATTTTATTTTTAATTTTTTTATTTTGTTTATTATTTATATTATTTTTTTTTTTTTGATAATTTTTTTAATTTTATTTTTTTTATATTATTTTTCCTTATCATACATGTATCCGCTAATTATTATATCTAAGAGTTTATCTTACAATTATTTTCCACTACATTGTTAAATCATCCTATTATCATTATCATAATTGTTATCATTATCATCATTGTTATCGCTAATAATTAAAATCTATGAGTTATCTACATTATAATAGTTTTCCCACAATCATTGTTATCATCCATATTATCTTCTTACTACATTCAATTGATTATCAACTACTCATCAACTAAGGACATTCCCGTTGTATAGCCAACTGATTCCCTGACGTACCGGTTATTCACCAGGTCATAGGGGATCCATAAAATCGGGAAAACTGGCGCATCTCCCTATTCGTGTTTACCACGATTCCCGATTCCGTTCTGATTACCTTGGTTGGGGCGGGATATGGAGGGGGGGCGGCGCTCACGTTTCTCTCTTTTCGAAAACAAAAACTTTATCCAAATCCTGACGTATTGTCATATATAGATAGATAGATAGATAGATAGAATAATTATCCTGTTTTTTTTTCTTTAATTATTTTTTTTAGATTATTATCAATTTATGTATTTTATTTAGATATTATTCATATCCATTCTTTTATCTTTAGGTGTTATCAATTTCTATTCTTTTATTTTTCTATTCTTTTGATCATTTTACTCCTTATTTTTTCATTATTCTTTTATTTTTCGGTAATAAAACACCAGCATAAAAGGAAAATAAAAATAAAATAGAATAATAAATGAACTGAATCCGAATGGGAATAAGAACCTGACCGAAATCCGCGGTGTTCGATTCGCTAGAAACAGGATTTGTTTTGCTGATCCTTTCCATGTGTCGCTGTTTGTTCGGAGTTCAAAGGAGGATTCGGAGAATTTTTTTTACGGAAGAAGAGATTTGGCGACGATCCAGAACGTTGCGCGGCGTGTGTGTGAATATGGTGTGTATTTATGTGATGTGTGTGTGTGTGGGTGTAGGTGGGGGTAGTGGGTGGGTGAGTGTGTGGGTGTGTGGGTGGTGGTGTGTGTGTGTGAGTGGGTGTGTGTGTGGGGTGGGTGAGTGTGTATCTATGTAATGTTGGGTATGGGTGTGGGTGCGTGAGGTGTGTAGGGTGGGTGGTGTGGGTGTGGGGTATGGGTGGGTGAGTGTGAGTGGGGGGGGGTAGGTGTGGTGTGTGGGGTGGGTGGGTGGGTGAGTGTGTGTTGTCTGTGTTGGTGTGAGTGTATGTGCGTGTGCGTGTGTGTGTGTTACGTGTGTCTAGTAAAAACACCAGCATAAAAGAGCAATACATACACACACAAGAAGAGGGAAAAACGAGATTGAGAGAGAGAGAGAATAATAGATGATTAGACGCATAGAGAAATAGACAGACAGAACCACAAATAACTAACGTAGATACACATAATCCCTACACTTTGCTAATTGCCATTAATCACAAGAGCCATTAACTAATCAATCACAGGCTCTGAAAATGCACTCCCATTTGCGGGCGATTAATCCACTTAATCTTAATACTGTCTTTTATTAAACGATTTTTAACTTTTACTTCATACGTCATACAAACAGACACCAAAAACTAATACACAAATACAGCCTTCAAAACGGTACACACACTCAACGTCTTGTTATAAACTAAAGCATTATGCAATCACCTATGCTATTAATTCTCCTATAATCATTTATATTATAAATCAGTTCATCTATAACGTGTTATTTCAGGTTCTAAATCACTCGACTGTACAGATTCGAAACCAGAAAGTCTTTAACAAACAAAGGAAAGTTTCAGAATAATTGTCAGATTAAATGATGAATGGGGGGAAGAGGGGGAGGCAGAGTATATAAAATGATGTTTATATATCGATCGAAAGACGAGAAAGGGAGAGAGAATTGGGAGATGGTCGGAACGTGGAATAAAGACGGTGTCGCAGTCTTTCTCAGGACTTGAAGAAAGTGCAAGTTTCTCTCTCTCTGTTTCTCTCCTCTCTCTCTCTCTCTCCTCCTCTCTTCTCTCCTCTCTCTCTCTCTCTCTTCTCTCTCTCATCTTCTCTCTCTCTCTCTCTCCTCTCTCTCTCTCTCTTTCTCTTCTCTCTTCTTTCTCTCTCTCTCTCTCTCTCTCTCTCGTTCTCTCCTCCTCTCTCTCTCTCTCTCTCTCTCTCTCTCTCTCTCTCCTCTCTTCTTCTCTTTCTTTCTCTTCTCTGTGTGTGTGCTGTCTTCCTTTCCTCTCTCTCTCCTCTCTCTCTCTCTCTCTCTCTCTCTCTCTCTCTCTCTCTCTCTCTCTCTCTCTTCCTCCTCTTCTCTCTCTCCTCTCTCTTCTCTCTCTTCTCTTCTCTGGTGTGTGTGTGTGTTCTCCTTTCTCTCTCTCTTCTCTCTCTCTCTCTCTCTCTCTCTCTCTCTCTCTCTCTCTCTCTCTCTCTCTCTCTCTCGCCTCTCTCTCTCTTCTCTTTCTATCTTCTCTGTGTGTGTGTGTCTTCCTTTCTCTCTTCTCTCTCTCTCTCTCTCTCCTCTCTCTCTCTCTCTCTCTCTCTCTCTCCTCTCTCCTCTCTCTCTCTTCTCCCTCTCTCCCTCTCTCCCTCTCCCTCTCCCTCTCCCTCTCCTCTCCCTCTCCCCTCCCCTCTCCCTCTCCTCTCCCTCTCCTCTCCCTCTCCCTCTCCCTCTCTCTCTCTTTCCGCAACAGGTCTTGCAAGTATAAACATAACGGTAATGTGATGTATGGAAGTATAATCCCTCGTCACAGAACTGGAGGGGAGGAAGGTGGCCTGAAACGTTAGGTAACCGCTCCCCTACTTTGGAGACCCTTCATCCAGTACCCTAACCCTTCTAGGCAGATTTTGCATTTTACAGGTTAGTGTAAGGGACAGTCAGTACACCAGAGGACTGTACATTCACGTTGGATGCGAACAGCAGAAATAGATGGACCTGATAACTGTAAAATGATAATATCGCCTACTTCTCTCTCCTTCCTTCGTTTGCAATAACACTCAACTTAAACCTCGATCAACCAACATGACGCAAAGATATCTTGGTATCACATGAAATATAAGTACTAATTTCAACATATGTATGAAGCTCTTTCTCTCTCTCTATCTATATCTATTATCTGTCTGTCTATCTATCTAATCTATCTTTCTCTCTGTCTGTCTGTCTGTGTATCTGTGTGTGTCTCTGTCTCTCTCTCTCTCTCTCTCTCTCTCTCTCTCTCTCTCTCTCTCTCTCTCTCTCTCTCTCTCTCTCTCTCTCTCTCTCTCTCTCCTCTCTCTATCTCTCTCTCCCTCTCTCTCCCTCTACTCTCTCTCTGTTTCTGTTTCTCTGTTTCTGTGTGTGGTGTATGTGTCTCTCTCTCTCTCCTCTCTCTCTCTCTCTCTCTCTCTCTCTCTCTCTCTCTCTCTCTCTTCTCTCTCTCTCTCTCTCTCTCTCTTCAAAATACGTTACTGAAGAATAAAAAAAAAATGTTTTAAAAAGAAAAACTGCAAACAAAATCCCGGCATCATAACACACACCAAACGACAAATAAACATTAATTCAACATCAAAACGAAGTGGGACAAATCAGAAAACTCAATCAAAAGAAAAATTACAGGGAATCAAAATCAATAAAAATAAATACCCACATTATATCTTCACAGATTCTCACAAGCACTCAACATGTTCCATACATGACCGGGACAGATAACCAATATACAATAGAGATAACAAGACAGACCAATTCAGAACCCGCCTTTCACTTCACAAATCTCATACGTCATATCATCTTCTCTTCTCCTCTCCCTGCTTCCCTCTCCCTCTCCTCTCCCTCTCCTCTCCCTGCTTCCCTCTCCCTCTCCTCTCCCTCCCTTCCAATATCATAACATCATAATAATGAATATTCTACGATCATTTCTATTTCTCCGTCGACATTTGCTATTCAATTCGCATTCTCTCCATTCATACATTCGCTTCATTTACACCTCCTTCGGTTTATTCATTATCTTTATTTATTATCATATTAAGGCTAACGTTAATCTATCCTAACGAAACCTAATGAATTGAGAAATACTTGACGGTAATGCTGCTATAGCGAAGGTCAAGATTCCTCCTCAGGATCAGTATCTTTTTTGATCGATTCTGGTAAGTTGTTATTTGTGCATTAATGGCTGCCTGTGACGAATGCAAACCGGATTCTTTGGACTGCTTCGAAGATCCCAAGGGCGCCTTACAATTCCCATCGTGATTATTATATTAATGACTATATTTCTCCCCCCTCTCTCTCTTTATTCTCTTCTCCCGCACTATCCCACTCCTTCCCTCTATCCCCTCCTCCCGCCTCCTTCCTATTGCTCATACTGCTACATGGCCGCCGCGCAGGAGGCCGCTCACTCACTGTCCTCGGGCCTGTCGTAGACCGCCTGCAGCTGCGCGATGCAGAAGGGCGACCAGCAGAGCGTGAAGGCGATGACCACCGTCAGCGTCATCCGCACCGTCTTCATCTTGGCCGCCGACACCTTGGCGACGGCGGGCGAGAGCGCCTTGTCCGCCTGCCTCCGCACCCGCACCACGGGCTGCAGCTCGAGGCCGAAGGCGCCGTCCGCGTCGCTCCTCCGAGTGCGACTTCTGACGCAGCCGCAGCAGTTGTAGTGCCAGGAGTGCGAGGGCTGCAGCGCCCCGCTGCTGTGCCACACCGCCCAGCAGATGTAGCCGTAGGACACGGCGATGATCGTGAGCGGCAGCAGGAACACGGACACCACGAACCACGTGACGTACACGCGCTCGTTGACCAGCTCGAACACGACCCAGCAGTCCTTGACGCCGGGCTCGATCTCCCTGACGGCGAAGAGCAGGACCTGCGGCGTGGCCAGGACGAGGCCCACCAGCCAGGCGCCGGCGATCATGAGCCTCGCCGCCCGCAGCGACCCGCGCCCGCTGCCCTGCACGGCGCGGACGCGGTCCACCGCCATGAACACCAGCATGTAGGTGGACACGTACAGCACGAACACCTGCGCGTACTTGATGAGCCGGCAGAGCAGGTCGGAGCCCTGGAAGCGGTACGTGATCTCCCAGATGAGCTGCGGCAGGATGTTGAACAGCGCCACCATGAGGTCGGCCAGGCTCAGGTGCAGCATGAACAGGTAGCAGCGCGACATCTGCTGGAAGAGCGAGTGGCGCCACAGGGCGATCAGGACGAACACGTTGCCCACGACGGCCACGAACAGGATCAGGATGAGGACGATGATCTCGACGACGGCCAGCGCCTTGTTCCTCTGGTCCAGGAGCGTCGTGGCGTTGAACTCCTCCCTGCCCGACGAGTAGCTGTCCTGCAGGAAGCTGTTCAACTCGTTGTAGAGCATCGACGCGTTGTAGCCCAAGTGCGAGCTCAGCTGCTCCATCTTTCTGCTGACGGCGGGGTCCACCTGCAGCTCTGGGTCCACCGTCGTGTTCATGGCGCCGCTGGGAACTGCTCGCGGTGGCGTCCGTCTGCTCGGAAATGGAAACAACGACCGGGGTTAATAAAGGACTGATAAACAGGAGAACATGGATGGTCGAGAACACACAGCCGCGTTCACAACACATGCACACACACACACACACACCCCCACGTTCACAGCACATACACACACACATACAAACACCCACGTTCACAGCACATACACACACACATACAAACACCCACGTTCACAGCACATACACAGCACATACACACAGACATTTTCACAGCACAACACACACATACAAACACCCACGCGCGCTCGCACACAAAAAATACAGATGGATACTGTGCAGTTAATATATGATTACTGAAATAATAAGAATGATAATGATGATGCTAGTGACAATGATAATGATAACGATAATGACGATTTTAATGGGAGCAATAGTGATAATGATAATGGTAATAATGATAAAGATACCAACAAAGATAATATCAATATTGATAATAATGACTATGAAATCTCATTGATCTTATTATGATAATGACGTTTCTCACTGATACAGAAGAAAATTATACTCATGCATAGCCCCACGTATTTCAAAGAGAACCAAGATATGCAGGGGAAGGAGAGGCAAAAGACAATCCCAAAATACCAGTCGACCAAGAACTCCTCATCGGTTAAAGCACTTAGAGAACAACTTACGACATCACAGTAAGAACAAGGGCCACGCAGAGGAGAGCCGCGGCAGTGTAGGTGGAGACACCGCAAAAACTGATGGCTTAGGGAGAGAGAAAGAGAGGGGAGAAGAGAGAGAGGAGAGAGAGAGAGAGGAGAGAGAGAGGAGAGAGAGAGAGAGAGAGGAGAGAGAGAGAGAGGAGAGAGAGAGAGAGAGAGGAGGGAGAGAGAGAGAGAGAGAGAGAGAGAGAGGGAGAGGGGGGAGAGAAGAGAGAGGAGAGAGAGAGAGAGAGAGGAGGAGAGAGGGAGAGAGAGAGAGAGAGAGAGAGAGAGAGATAGGGAGGGAAAGGAGAGAGAGAGAGGGAGAGAGAGAAAGAGAGAGACGGAGAGGAGAGAGAGAGAGAGAGAGAGGAGAGAGAGAGAAGAGAGAGAGAGAGAGAGAGAGAGGAGGGAAAAGAGAGAGAGAGAGAGGGAGAGAGAGAGAGAGAGAGAAGAGAGAGAAAACGATGCGTTGGAATGAAAATATTTGCAACTGCATCTCGTAATTACATCGTTTGATTTATATACAAGCCATACTAGCTTAATCTGGCTTG